AGCATCTGTTTAATGAGATCTGACACAAATGGATCCAAAAGGCTGAAGAACTCGTTTAGGAATCAACATCTGTGAATCTACTTCCTTTCTGAGTGGTTTTTTGTTTTTGTTTTTTGTTTTTGTTTTTTTTCCCCTGGTCTGTACGATCATTTTGACAATTTGAAGATGGGGCTATCATCCAACAAGGTCTTCAAAGACTACTTGGTGATGTCAAACTGACAAATGCCTACACTAGACAACTACAGTGGTTTACAAATAAAACGGGTGTTATCAACGTGAAGTACTTTATAAATAAAGTGTAATTTGACACCACCTGCAAGCTCTGATCGAGCCGAAAGGTTAAGTTGATAATGCTACAGAGTTTCTTCCTGACGACACGGGGACTGATGTAGGGCCATTCAAATATGTCACACATGAGCTGACCTCTTAGGTTTCATATCTACCTTTCGCGTTCAGCCTAAAACACGAGACTAAGCTTCCTGGTTAGAAATAGTGTAGTATATTATATCATGTCATTATCCGTGTCCAGTTATTTAGAAATAATATTCCTACATAATGTTTGTGTAATGAATTAAAGTTCTGTCTTGTTACACATGTGGGTTTTTTTTTTATTTATTGTGCTACAAACTAAAAGAGTATTTGAAAAGAACTTCAGTCCTTATCTATAAGATTAAGACAAACATTTAAAACCCTTGTGTTTGTCAAAATAGTTAGCCATATAAGCATCATGGATTTCTTAGCTTGCGTGATCTCTACAGATAAGCTTTGAGTGTTAGATAAGGGGCTGGTTTTCATGCCATTAGGCTGCAAATTCAGTGTTGTTATACCATGAAAGTACATAAGGATTGAGCAATGCATCTAAAGGGGAAGTGGATGAGCTGCAGAGCTGCAGGTTCCCTCTCAGCTTCCTGCAGCAGTCAGAAAAGATGCAAATGAGATGTGTGCGACGAGTGTAACAGGAGGCGCGACTGTTTTACTACATCAGATAAACTCCTACGCTTCACAATGAAGAATAACCAACTGATTCAAAGCGGTTTGTATATGCCAGTGTATGGATCCCTGTTTATTTATGAGCAGCTAAAGTGTGTTTTTCTTCCTAGTTGAACATTTAACATTAAAAATCTTTGAACTCTTTCAGTGCACTTGGCTCAGCTCTGCCCACAGCTACAAACAGCCTCTGCTTTGATCATGAAAGTTAAGAGGACATTATGCCAGTTCAGTGTCACTTATTCTCTAAGGGTAGTCTCCAGTGGTGGAAAGCAACTCGTTTGCTCCTTGAAATTTCTTTCTTTAAAGATGAGTTTTCTTTCCTGCAGCATTTGGTGCTTTCCAGGGTCTTCGGCCTTCATTAGAATACCTCTCTCCATCTGCATTTCCTCTTCCTCCCCTTCCAAGCATCATTGTAGGGCCTATTTTGGCCCACGATCAGGTCTCTTAGGTCTGCTGATAGCTTCCGGTTATTCTGGAAGGTTTTAAATAGGTTTGAGCGATAAATATCTTTAATATGAAAAGAAGCTTTAAATAAAATCCTGTGGTGAGAAAGAAAGAGGTGAAACATTTATGTGTTCAGTCTTGTGAACGAAGGGCAGATTTCTCACACTCAACTGGAGTCCACTATTCATGTCCACACACACGCTGGTGTGACGTCAATGCTGATTGGTGGAGGAGTTTAGGCTGAAGGCAGCCTGTTGCCTGGATATGAGCAGCAGCCGTGCCGAAGTTCACTCTGAAAACGATCAAAACTCATTTAGAAATAATTACTTGTAATTACAATCGCTGTGTAAGAACAGCAAAACTGCAGCTGTGTGTGTTACAGTGCAGTGTTGCAGCCCTACAGCACTGGTCGTGCTGAAATGCACCGAAAGTGACACAAAGGTAAATACTGTGTTATTGTATTAAAAACAAGCTGCTCTCTGACCTTTGATTGGCCTCCTTTGGAAGTAAAGGCGCTGTTGTTTCCTGCTTGTCATGCTGACACACACACACAAACACACACAATAACCCATCTTCCTCTCTAATGAGCTGATTGATGATCTGTTATTCTGCCCTTGTGTGCGTGTGTGTGTTATGCGTGGCTGATGACGTGTGAGGTTGAATGGGGGGCGGGATTTTGTCTGATGAGGACAAAGACAGCAGGGGGTCATTAAACACACACAGACACACACACCCATACATACACACCTATCCTTCGGAGCATGTGAACCTCTGTGGCCCCGCCCCATTCCACAGGAAATAGTTGCAAACCACGACTCAGTCTCCACGGTGATGCTTTACGAGCTGACGGGACGACTGGGGTCAGGGGTCACAAGGAGACGGAGGGAAAGGCGAAGCTATCCTTTCTTTTGGGTGCGGTTATAATGGCGGCTCCCGAATATTCTAGGATTCAACTCAACATCTGGAACTTAATCTGGGACTCCAGGATTATCTTCATATTCCCCTGGAAGATTTTAAGTATCTCACTTAAAAGACCCAAGCCATTCCAGGAATCCCGGAAGCCCCTGAAAGACTGATTGAGTCATTCATTCTATCTGGAAGAATCCTGGAAGTGAAATCAAATTTTCCCTTAAGGACCCTGAGGACCGTGCAGGATCTATTTGATTCTCTCCATGTTCGATTCTCTATTTTTAACTGCTGGAGAATCTCGATGTTGCTGACTTGTGGAACATATTTTAGTCTGCATGAACATCTTTACTGACTTTTAGTTCTCAAGAAAGTCTAGAACTCCTTCTTTAAGGACAATCACATCCTTTGGCTTTCTCTCAAGAACATCTACAACACCTTCAGTAACTTACTAAACTTTTCCTGGAAACCTTGAACCAATGAACCATTTAACTCAATGAATTTTGTCAAGTATATGTGGAACTAGCCTACAAAGAATACCTAAACCTCCTGCAGGATCATTTCTCTTCTGAAAGCTCTTCAGAATCTCCTAGAAGTTCTTCAGAGTAAAGAAGGAAATTTCTCAGTACAACTCTTTGAGCTTAAATTGTTAGAAATAAATGTGTTTGGAAAAATAAAGTTCTGATATGTCATTGTCCAGACTGACCTTTAATTATAAAATTATAGTTATAAAAACTATTTGTTAATTCACAAAATAAATTATGTTTGACTCCCCTGAACTAGAAAGTTTTCTGTTTTGTTTTTTACCTTCAGAATCTTCAAGAGCCCTGAAACATTTCAAAGATTGTACTTCTTTACTATACTTTTAGTACTTTAGTGACTAAATCAGACAAACTATTTCCAACTTACCCTACTGCAATCGCGTCTTTAACAACATCTGTTTCCAGAAACTCTGAAAGTGCTCCTGGAACTTCCTCAATGACAACAATAGACACTTGAAACTACAGTAGAAGGAGGCCCATTCTGTCTCCTGTCATGACTTTTACAACATGTTCAAATACCACTTGCACCTATTTGTGACTCCTGGAAACTTTTCAAGAACCCTGAAACATTTCAAGGATCGTATGAACTTGTTCCTTTCCATTTAGTGTTTTCTTAATTACTCATGGAAGAATTCGCCTTCTTCGAGAACATCTAGATGTTTGAGAGTAGTTTTGAGGGTTTGTCTCACCTGGAAAGCTTTCAAAGCCACGACATTTTTAGCTCTATTACAGGTCACTAGATGACATCTGGAGGCCCACAACCCTTTCAGTCATTGAATGTTGTAAAGACACCTCAAACTGACCTAGGAAAGACCCTGGAGCTACAATGAGGGCAATCTGAGACCCTCATGAAACTTGTGAACACTCCTATGGTCTTTGAAACACCACAAGGACTTCAAGATGCTTTTAAAACACCAAAGGAAACTATTTCAAACCAAAGAAGCCTCTTCAAGGATTCCTTGAACTTCCTCCAGAACTTCATGATTAAACTTTGTCGATTGAATATTTTTATCTATTTTGTTTTTTTGAGTGTTTTTTGTAACACATGCATCCATTGAGTCCAGATTCATCTGTGTGTGCGTCGTTGTGAGTGTGTGAACCCGTTGTCTGGGGTGACAGCAGTAAGAATGTGTGACATCATAGCGCCGAGTCGTATAAAAGTGTCAGCCCGCCGCCGGCACACAGATACTGACTGGTCCTGAGATGAGACAGGACAGACACCAGTGATAGTTAAAAAAAGAAAAAAAAAGAAAAACCAAAAGCTTTTACGACTTGTTCTGAGACTGATAATCAATTACTGTGATTGGAGAAAAACAGTTGGATTGATCGGACGACCAGCAGAATCTTTTATTTGACTTTGATTTTTGTTGGAATATTTTTGAGAAACTGTTTGTCAGTAAGTTCTGCTTCTTTATTATCCTAATCATCAAATTTACTAATACATAAACATCAGAAAATGACATTTAAACTTCAAAAATATTTCTTCAAATTAAAGAAAATCTAAATTGAAATTTACTAAATAATCCAGTTTAATAAGTGCCATTACCCAATGAAGATTTATTCATATCTAATAATAAAATAACAAAAATCCAAATTTATTTTAAGTCTAAATTTTCTAACTAGCCTTCTTTTACTTAAAATGTTTTTTAACTCTATTGTATTGAATTGAATTCAATAATAAAAATCTAAACACCTTCAGTTTGGTAGACTATAATCTACATCTGTAATCTGAGACTGTAATAATCAATTTAAAAAAAAACTATTCATGACCACATTGTAAAAAAACAGAATTGTACAAACGTGAATAAAGCTACAAATTTGTTAAGATGCACAAATAAATTCAAATTTGTGTTAAAAATATATTTTTGTTTCTTTTTTAATACCACAACAAAATTTGACCCAATCAGTTTTTATCTCCTGATCAGGTTATTTCACCACAATATTCACTTTTATCAAGTCACAGCAATCCTCTGACCGATAGATGGCGCTGTAGGCTTTAATAACCTTCAGTCAGAGCTACACGTAACTCAGCTATTTCATGTTCTTCTTAAAGCTTATAGGTTAAACACAGTCATGGTGGTGTGTTTTTTTAACTAAATGTTTTTTGTACAAACAAAGATGGCTGCTGCTTCATCTCCTTTCATTTCCCTCATCTTCCTCCTCTTCCTCGCTGTTGCTGCGGAGTTAAAACCGTCACCTCAACGAGACAACAAACAGGTCAGTGGAGAACTTCCTTTTCATCATTACCTTCATTCTCTTTTTACACCCTTTATTTTAATCATTATCTTTGTCCTCATTATCTTCATTCATCGTCTTCATCGATAGTTTTTGCTCTTTTTATTGATTATTTCAGCTTTAATAAAGAGATACAATGAAACAGATCTCATAGTCAGAGATGATCTTAGATTAACAGCATGGTGTCATCAGCATAAGTGAGTCTGTGCAAGATTTTTCAGTGCTCCACCGATCAGTGACACATAATAGGAAGATTAATGTGACACTTAAAAAATGTCATCTGTTTGATGTTTTAAAGACTTGTTTTAAAGACTCAAATATGGGGCAAAGGTTAATGGATCCATCGTTACAAGAGTACTAACCAATATATAATATGGCTTACTCTAAGTTCTGTTATGTGGGACCAGTGTGTAATCTGAGTAATCTGATTACTTGACTACTCTGTGTACTTGAGGTACAGTTATCAACATTCACTAGAAAAGGCAGTGAATCACACAGATGATTACTGACTGTATTTCAGGTTTTACACTCTCTGTTTGGCTCTCGTCTTTCAACTCTCATCTTGGCCACTCCCACTTTTGATGACATCACAGAGGGATCAGCTGGACAGCTCACCTCCACAACTCCTTCTGCAGTACTGCCTGTGAGCCACACCCTTGCAAAGCGAGTGAACAGCAGAACTGAAGCAGTCCCTCAGTTCTTTCTCAACTTCCTGCGGCAACAGACCAAGATGAGGAGGTGGAGCCGCAAGTCGATGATGGGAGGGAGAGGATGCTTTGGGATGAAGATGGACCGTATTGGGTCCATGAGTGGTCTGGGCTGTTAGACATATGTGTCACCATGGTAACTACCCTACGACCTAAGCTCCGCCTGACGTTGCATGACCTCTGACCTCCAGAAGGATGAATTTTTCCACTGGGCAAAGACTTCATGTTGGATCTTTACTAATAAAGGACTAAAGGAAACGTACTAATGACCTCTGACCTCTGACGCCTGGCTCCAGTGCAGCCAGCAGGACTCTGTGTGTGTGAGAGACGAACATGTTTTAAACATGTAGATATATTTGTGTGTGTAAGAACATTAGGCATTTAGCTCACAGCAGGAAATGATCCGCTTCACACGCCTTTTCACTACAGGAAGTACTCTGTGTTGCTCCAGTGAGGGGCGGAGTCTGGATAATGTGTGCAGGACATGGCAGGTTAAAGACAGATGAATGTCCAATCTGATAGTGTTGCACATTTTTGCGCTTTTACATGTGTCTCTGTCGGGTGATGTACTGGAAAGCTGATCACAGTGGGGCATGTGTGAAAGCAGCTTAATAGACGACCATGTGTTAAACATGCAGGTATGTGTGTGTTTGTGTGGACCGACTGCAGCCAACAATAAACTACAGAGAAAACCTCACTGGGCTTATGTTGCTTTGATTCAACAGGTAAATAACATCACACAGATATTTATTACAACATTAATATTAATGAAAGCTTCAGTTTTTACTGTGTGAACTTCCTGTTTATGGTGACACTGAACGGACATTATGGTGCTTCCAACAAGGAAGAAGAATCCTAAATAGGAATGCATATTATGGCTCTGTAACAGCAGGAATGTATTTATCTGTTGTTTAACCAGGAAAACATTTTGAGGTTAAAGACTTGAGAAATACCAAGGGCTCAGGGAAGAGCTTGAGAAGAACAACATCGGAGATCTCTGTCCAGAAGAGCGCGGTCCTAGGAACAGCTAAGATACTGCGCAGGACCGCTCTACCTTTCTGAGAACCAAAAGAAAACCTACTTTTTAAGAACTCGCTAACTCAAGAGTGACATCGTTCCCAAGTTTTGGCATATGAGTTTCAAAATATCTCTTCAAGCATGTTATGAAGATGCATTAATGTTATGAGATGACCAAAATAATAGTCAGTGCTAGGTTTTTAAAATAAAAGCCCAATTTCAACTGTTTTCACCTTACTGTAATTACTTACTCCACTGAGATGATGTCAGGCTGTTATGAAGTAAACAGTAATGTGTAAGGTGACTGTTTAGCAAGTCTGAAGCCTGAGCTTTTGGCTCACTGGGATCATTTTTACAGGTTTATCCCATTGTATGAAATTTAGCAAAGTGAGTTATTTATAGATGCAGTTTAAC